TGAAGGAAATTGGTTTAGACGTTTAGGTCTTGGAAGGGACCCCCCTAAAGCGACCTGCGATCGTCATGTTTTACTGCCTCTTCCAACCGTCAAAACTCGTCCTCATTGCTCGGCGCTCGATCTAGAATCCCGTAGGCAAAGATGAACGAGGCTTGAATAGCCATACCCGGCTTATTAGCAGTCATAAGCCAGTCAACCCCAAGGTTTGCAATTCCCTAGGCCCGAACCCGCATTCTATGTCTTAGAGGTTGATATCAGCTAGTTCGTTCTATACATATTAACTGTCAAGTTGTTGCCCTTGATTACTCCAGTAAACATGTATAAGATAGCCGAGGTAAAATATAGATTAACTACAATAAACTGCAATTATGCAGTCCAGTTTGCAATACCATAAAGTTCATCCACAAAAGGCTGCCTGTGTGTCAGAAGGATCCGCAAATACATCGAAACCATCTTCTCTTTTTTAACAGCACGACCTACCAGCTACCGGGAAAACGAGGTGTACATATGCGAATCCAGGTACTACGATGATGAGAAACAACTGCGAAAACTCAAAAAGCCCTTTAAAGTAAGTTTTTCCAACAGTTTACCACTATAAACTTGTCAAACATGGAAAACCAACCGTCGTACATTTTGACAGTTTTAAGCCCTGCAGCTCTACACTAACCCCTACTTCCCCCTGTCCAAAACTGTGGACCTATATTCGATGGAATCATAGGTGACTCCAATGATGACCCCTACGTTTAATGCCTTAACCTATTGCCCGGCCCTGGTCAACACCGTCGATTCGATATTGCTGCACTGATTGAGAGCTCACCTTTATCCTTTTAAGTTCTGTTGACAGACCTCTCAAAGCTGTATGCTATTTAGTACAGTTCCAGAATTACTTGGGATTGCGGCTTCTATTTTATTTTTGATCCACAAGTATGTTAGCTCTATTTCCGGTGAATTTAGGTTTCCGTACGCAGTCCCCCCACCCCCCACCTTAGAACTTGCAATAATCTGGCTGTTTTCTTCCTTTCAGAAGTACAACTTCACGCCCGAAACGGTGGAAGATGAGTTCTTCTTCTTTCCCCAACCCATCGTTCCCCTCAAGGTCAGTTTTCTCTCCCTCTCGCGTTCTTTACTTTCGGGGAAATTTTGGGGTATGCAGTCGCCTGTTCGGCACTCCCATATGTCTTTGTTTTGCTGTTGGTATTTTAATTACCTCGAAAGAGCTGATCTCAAAACTCGTCAACAGTCAGTAAATTATATTTTACGCTGTCAACATCTGCCCACGTCGTTTAGCTCGCGTTCTACAACATTTCAGCAGGAGTTTCTATCAACATGCACGTCTATGCCCACTCTCATTACCACCGAACTGGACGCGTGACCACAATGAAAACAGATCCGTGAGGAGGGTTTTTACGGTTTGTCACAGGGGGAGGACAGCCACCACTGTTTCAGGTGATACAAGTAGTTTGTGCACGATTTTATTTCACAGCCTAGACTTCACGCCCTCGTCTCACTCAGCATGCTTCAGAACGACTAGGGCTGGATGTGGACATCGCAACTGACCGGCGAAGCAGCCCCTAGCTGCGCGTTCCACCTACATTCTGGGCCCTCATCTCAAAATGTTAAGGCTCCTCCTGGAGATTCATGTGGATATTTGAGTTAAAACTCCTCAAATACCGTGGGATATTAGCAAGCGACCAACATACGGTATACAAACACAGCATTATTTATCATACTAACTGTACAGTTAAATGCCCTAGTCCCCCAGAACCAAGTTGTCAGTCCAACTGGCAACCTTCCAGGGCACAACTTCTATAATTATCCAAAATTTAATTCTACTTTCGCATTGCATTCTGCAGGAAGCCTCGCCTATGCTTGCCAAGGTCTCCTCAACCCCGCTGAGCATGGAACAGTTGGACCGACCCGCCTCCTCGGCTCTGGCTAGCGTGGTGGCCTCCGCCAACTTGCCAGCCTCTGGCATCTCCACCAC